ATCTTTTACATTTCTTCTCAAACTACAAAACAAGGTAGGGATTTCTTCCTATTTATATAATAAAATAGCTTATAATTCAAATTTCAAAAGATAAACAAAATGACTTTTGCTATTCGCGGTTAAGATCTCTTTAAATTTTACTTTAAAGTTAATTTAACGGCTAATATTAAAACTCCAAATTTAATAAGAAAAAATAGACTCCTAAGGGTGTGTTTGGAGTAATTTTTTAAAAATATTTATAGAAATTATTTCTCATAAGTACTTTAAAAAAATATATATTGTTTTGAACCACTCCACCACCACCGCCACCGTCGTCGCCATCACCACCTCTACTGCCATCACCACCATCATCATCGCTGTCGCCGCCACTACCACCGGCACCACAACTATTATTGTCTCTTACCACCACCACTACAAAATTGATGTTTAAATTCCTTGATTTATTGTTTACCATTTTTTATTATTCTGTGCCTTCAGACACAGGTAATAACTAGTTCTCTTACATTGAGGCTAGAGTTTATATATATATGTTTTGAATATAAAATCCTCTTTAATTATTAGTAAATCATTGGTTCTTGATATTCTTGCAAACACTAGCATGTTTTTAACAAAATTATAGTTGGGTAGTCATGAAATTTATTCTTCTTGACTCAAAACCCTAGTTTCCAAGAGATAGATATTTTTCTCTCGATTTTTTCCTTATTCTTGATTTCAAAATTTTAGTGCTTTGTAATTAACAATAAAAATGGATTGTTGATGATCTCTTGCTTATTTTCTTTAATTGTTCTCCTGTAATACAAATTATGAAATTTGGGGATTTTGAATTTCTTTGTGATTTAAGAAAATATTTGTTATTGCATCTCTTGTATGGTTGTTATGATGGACTTGAATTGCATTCGAACACTGCTATAGAGTGTTAGAGGTTAGTCTATCCTAGTGGGGGTGAGATGATTTCCTAACACTTGTAGTATTTTTTTATTTGTGAGAGCAACTATTTTTTGTTTACGTAAGTTCAAGACTGAGGGATGGTATACATTTCCTGGGAAGAATTTGTCAATGTCGTGAGAGACAATATACACCGTTCCTAAAATGTTTGAGATTGTGTGATTATGGTGGGTGAATGAGGTAGAATCGTGGTGAAAATTCATGAAAAGCAACCAAAATACCTGAGAATGTGGGATTACGTTGTTGAATGATTGTTTAATTTTTATCACTTTGACATGTTTATTCCTTTCATTTAAATTATTGCTCTTGCTTAAAATTGAGATCCATTAAAATGTCCTTATTTTCTTTCAAAATTATGTATGATATTTTGTAAAGTGAGATCAAACTGTTTTATATATTTTCTAAACCTTATTCGAGTTTGGAAGGATGTTGCTATAGAATTTAGTAGTCAACCCCTACAAATAACATATTTTTCAGATTATGTGCTAGAAGGGGAGCTTGAAGTAGATGAACAGACACATTGGGAAGCTCCAATAGATGAGAATGTGGATTCCGAGATGGACGTTTAGAATTATATTCTCTTTTGTCTTAGGTTCTAGACTAGGGAATTTATTTTGAGACAATGTAAATGATAACATATTTTGTTATTCCGCTACGAGATAATAACTAATTCTTTTGAGATGTAATGGTCATGGTTTGACATATTTTTTTGGAATGATGTTATATACATTATGGATGATGAATGAAATTATTTTTTTTATTTATAAATTTTATTAGTTGCACTCATAATGTGAATGGTTTTAGATTGTGATACCGTCCAAAAGTGGTTTTGGAGGCGTTACATAAACATAAATAGTTTCAAAAATTAGACAAAAAGGGTATTCCGGGAGGCCTAGGTGGGATCGGCCAAACTTGGTTACTAGCAAAAATCTATATTTTTTAAAGTTTTTATTTAAAATAATTTTAGAACTATGGTTAAAATAAAAATATCGAATTAAGGCATTTCGGAATGAGTTGTAGTGTAACGGGGTCCCGAATTCATGAAAGGCAAAAGGGTCATTTTACACTTTTGCCCCTCTACTATAAATACAACTCCCTTAGTGTAAAAATATCAATTTTTGGGCTGAGAAAGGTTAGTACACGTTTTTTTGAGGAAAAAAGGAAGAAAAATCTTAAATTCTTCAAGTTTCAAGCCACCAAAACTCATCCCTAAGCCAAGATTCTTGTAAAATTTCCTTCTAAGAAGTTGTTCCTCTCAACAAGGGCTATATTCTCATTAATCGGTTCAGCTAAAAAGCGAACACAACTCTCTTGATTTTAGAAAAACCATTTTAGGTATAATATGTTGCTAAATTGGGAATATATTTAAGTTTTCTTGTATTCTTATGTGTTGATTGAATGATTTAGGTGTTTACTTGATGTTAGAAAATCATTTAGTTGATAGTTGCTTTGAAAACTTATAATTAGTGGTTTAAGTATTTTTGTGTTCTTTGAGTTTCTTAACAATTTGTTGCTATGGTAAAAGTGTATATTACTTATGTGTTGGATTATTATATTCTAGCTTATGTTCATGTAGAAAAACTCTTGTGGTTTGAGAGTTATAATTTGTTATATGAGTTGATAGTTTGTGTATTTGTAGTTTCTTTTAAAAATTATGAAAGTAATGAATATGAAGCTTGATCATATGTTCAATCCATTGAATGATGCTTCACATTCATGTAGATAAGGTATTTGATGAAATGTTTCATAGAATTCACATTGAGAAAAATCATGACATCTTGACATACATGAATCCTTGAAAGATATTGTGGGTTGAGCACTCGGTGCTATGCATTATGAGGGTGTAGATCTTGTAGTGAAAAATCTAAAATCTGGCTAATGGCAGTATTCGCGGGCTGACGGGGGCAGACTGTGAAGCGAGACATGGGTGACATAGAGATGCATGAGTGTGTCATACATATTGACATTGCATAGCATTGAGAGATTGCAAGGTTATAGCTTTTAAAAATGTACACTTGCATATGTCACATCTTAAATTTATTCCCAGCATTAGTATTTTGTCATACTAGTAGTTGAGCTGACCTATTCATGGGATATCATATTACAGATGAGGCTCCCGGTAGTTGAGACTTGAGGAAGTCTTAAAGGAAGGAGGGGAAAGCAAATTGAATTGATATTTGGCCCTTGAACATATTTTGTATATATGGGCATAATCCCAAATGACTTTTATTTCAATTTATAAAAGTAATGCATTATAGACGCTGGATCATTTTAAAGTGTAAGAGTGTAAACCCAATTGATATGTAGGATATTATTATGTAACGAGTATCATTTGTGTATATTAAGACAATTAGATGTGTATGTTAAGAACAATTGATGTATGTTTAATTTACATGAGTTGTAGCCACTGAGTGAAGGTGGGTTGTGATATACTTATGCACATGAAATGTTGTGAATATTAGGTGAAAAAAAGGCTTGAAAAACAAAGAAAGTTATGTCAAAATTTTATGAAAAATTAAAAAATTTGTTAAGTGTGTAAAATACCTTTTAAATACGTGGGAAGGATGTCAAAAGGAGGGGTTAGAAATCTTGAAGAAATAGGCTAAAAATGGAAGAAAAGTTACTTGAAAAACTTTGAAAAAACATGAGAAATGAATAAGAAACCAATTTATCCAACCTAATGACCTTTTGTTTACTTTTCTTTTTTCATTTTTACTCACTCCCCGGGTTTGTGAAAATTTGGGGCGTGACATAACTGTTTGTCAAATTAATATAAATACTAACCCAGTTGTAGAATATGAACTGTTATTAAACTTTGTGTAGATCAATACTAGTGTTTGACATCATGTCATTGAGACAGATTTCATCCCCACACACGATGTTTATAAAATATCAAGCATTTGCCTTTCAGGATAAAATGATCTTTACACGAGTAGAAGTAACACTTCAATCGACTCGTTCAGCGAACTGAAAATTATGTTGTGTACTTTTCAAATGCAGACTGTCTTAATGATGTATGAAACTGCCTTAAATAACTAAGAATGTATTGAATAAATTAGATGCAAAATGATTATGTGATTGAGTTATTTATAGAGAGAATGATGACTGATTCGGATAATCACATTATCTGAAGAGATGCAACCCAGCAGTCACATGCAGCCATAAAGACACCACTTGCATACTCTCCAAAAAGATAGGGTCTAACCCACTCCCGAGCCAAGTCGAGTCGTGACGCTACGTGTGGTACTCGTGTGTGTGATAAAATCGAAGATATGTAGGTACTTGTTCCGCTCATAAAATTGTGGTACCCCTTAAGGCCCAATCTTATATAACAAATTTGACCAATATATTTTCATCTAGAACTTCTTTTTCAATCAATATGGGATTGATGTCAAATCCCAAATTGCACAATCTTTATTTTCACATTTTAAGAGGGTAGCGTTAGAGCCTATTTACTTATTCATTTTGTACTCGATTTTAAGCAAGTGAATATACTATATTATTCTCCTTACAGAGTAGAATACGAATCCACAAAAGTTTACTTAAAATAACGAATGATAACTATTTTAATTTAGACTCAAAATCGACCAAAAATTCACTTTTTACACTTAAAAAACTATTTTGGTCTAACAAGGAGTTTGTGTTGGTGGGTTTTTCTAGTTTAAGTTTGATTGTGGCGGCTGTCGACGAAGATAAAAGTGGAAGATCATAACATGAAGAGGTGGCTATTAATAGTGGATTTGTCAAAGAAAGAAAACGAGGAAGAAGAGTGAATGGATTATGGTGGTAAGCAAGGTCTGAAAGTGTGCAGAGAGAGAGAGAGAGAAAGAGAGGGATGTCATTTTTTTTTGGGTTAGCCGGTGATGGTAATTTGGTCATTTTAAGAATACATGTTTAGTCAAACTCTCACTTCTAGAGCATCTGTAGGACATTCGATTAGACTAGATGAAAAATGTAACTATGCAGTCTAGTCCACAAAAATCGTGTGAAGGTTATGTTGATATTTTTAAATGTGAGGGGAGGTTATGTGCAGTTCAAAAAATAAGGGGAGGTTAGGTGCATATTTTCTTCCTCTCCAAACGACCCCCCGAACAAATAAACACCCCCCAAAACGTACACTAGGGCGGGAGAGATAGAGTTTCCTTTTATACAGTGCGTTTACACCTCCCTCCCCCTTCCCCCACCGCCACCATTCCCGCTCCCACACGCACCAGACACACATATGAACACTCTTTTGCCTGCTCTACAAAAGCCCTAATCTTTGATCTCTATTTCACTTTCTTCGATCTCTCTACAATCAAAAAGGTAAAACTTTCCCCTTTATCTGTTCTGTTCAAGTATTTATGCGTGAATTCGTTTTGTTTTATCTGTTGTTTATCTTCCAGATCTGCCTTTGCACCACCTTTTATATCTCATTTTCGTAATTTTTCTTGTATTTTACACTCATTTTTGTTTGTATATTCTGGTTTATTTGTGTTTCTTGGTGGTTTTTATTAAATTATATTGTGTTTGAATGTTTGAATTGATTGATGTTACCGTTTCTTTCATAAAACTGGTGCAGGTTATATAGGTTTAAGTTATATACACAGATAGATAGAAAGAGAATGGGATATATAGGAGCTCATGGAGTTGCTGCGCTCCATAGATACAAGTACAGTGGAGTGGATCACTCTTATGTCGCCAAATATGTACTACAACCCTTCTGGAGGCGCTGCGTCAATTTCTTCCCTCTTTGGATGCCGTAAGTGTGGGCCTGAATCTACTGTTCCGTTTGCACAACACCATACCATATCGATTGTTTGTTTTCATTGAGTTTTTTGGAATTTATTTGTGTCCTAGTCGTTATAGGGGTCATAGGCAAACACTATATGTTTGTGTTAGATCACACAAATGAACATGAAATGTGTATTATATTTGTTGGGTTTAACTGGATGCTCGGACTATAAGCCAACATCACCCAGGGGAAAATTGTTTTCTTATCATACTTTTTTGGATTGACAAAGGGCGGCCTGGCACAGACAAAGCCTATAGCAAAAAGTTTGAAAGAGGTCTTATTAATACTTTTAAGTTTCATAATCTCAAAAATGTTTGTTTGAAAATCATTTTTTCTTGCCTTTTGAATTCAAGTTTTGTGTATGGAAAGTTGGAAACTTGATTAATCAAAGTCAAATTTGGAAGCCAAATGTAATTAATATTTTATGGTTGAAGATATAGAGAACAAGGATATTAACTTTATTTTTAGCAAAACAAAGTCTTATAGAACAAGCGAAACTAGGAATTTTTGTGCGTAAATTGGCTTAGAAGAAGTGATGTATGGTTGAAGATTGTAAAGGGACAAAGCCATGTTTAAGCAATAAAATTTAACAGCTTGACTATGGTTATGTTTAGTTCTAAATAGTAAAAGTCTTATTCACTCTGCATTTTATTTTTGTTTGCATTATGAAAAATACAACGAGCCTTAATCTAATCCCCACAAAAAAGGCAGAAACAAAAAATTACAATTTGCAACAATTAGGTGAGAGACAATTAGTCAGCTAATAAAGTTTGAGAATAGGACATCAAAAGTATTCTGTTACTAGAAAAAATATACTTTCTATCTAATATAAAAATCATATAAGATTAGATCATTGGAAAAATTGGATTGAACTCAAGACCCTGATTTTTGTTTTTTCATAGGCAGTCACCTTAGTGACCTAGGTCTAGGGCCGGCCTTGGATTGGAGAGTTGTAATATGGAAAAAGGTCATGAGCATACTTGGTACTTTTTAATGGTGCTTGGGGGTGGACTGGAATAACATTATTTGAAAGTGGGGGACTGAAAATGAAGGGCCTCTTAGCATAGTCGACTCATTAACTAACTGTTAGCAATATCATGCAAATTTTGGGAGGTGTTGGAATCATCAACCAGATAAGCTTATACATTTTTGGGTTGCTAAGGTGTGGTTTAGGTAGCCTGTCGGCAGGGGCAGAGCGACATAGAGACCAGCAGGGGCACATGCCCACCCTGAAAAAAAAAAATAAAAATTTTATCTTTGTATGTTTATGGTTTTTTATTAGGTAGGTGGAATTAGGCCCCACCCTCGTGACCAAAAATCAAAAATATTAGACCCACTCTAATAAGTTTGGACTAACTAAATCTTGTGCAAAAAAAATAATCGGGCCCACTTTTCACTCAAAAAAATATGAAAATATGTTAAAAATCTTGAGAAAAAATTGGGCCCACTGCCCACTCTTGTACACACAAGTGAAGGAAAAAATTTGTTAAATTGTATTGAGTTGTAATTTTTGTTGGGATTTTATTGGGTTTTATTTTGATTATATGGACAAATTGACCCTAATCATTTTGGCCTTTTGAAGTCAAGACATGTGCAACAATTAGTGAGTGCATGTTCCTTTTTCGTAACTTCAACGACTTGTGACTAGTGATTGAGCTTATTTTTTTGATAACTCTCAATCTTATACAATTCATAATTGTTTGAAATTGCTATAATTTTTTAAAATTGATGTGACTTAGTCTGAAATTGATTACTATGAATTTAATCGTTCTATATGGAAATATGTTTTTGATAACATTATTGATAACGTTATCATACAATTCTTTCAAAATCTGAAAAATTATCGAGGTCTACTGTACATAGCTGTAATTAGTCTCTTTTTTTTGCAAAAGATTGTAATTAGTTTTTTTTCATGAGTATTGTTTTCATAGACTGTATATATTGGCATTCAAACTTTTTGTGTTTAATGAGTCTTTAAAATATGCAAATTGATTGGAGAATATAGACTCATTATTTTATAACATCTCCTTGGAGCTTGGAATTTCTTCTGTATTATTCTAATATAGAAGGTTTTGATATGTCGGTCTTAATATTTTCATGGAAAAATTTTGCAAGTCATTGATTATTTCTCAATTTAGACTTGTGGTTTACTATGATTTTGCCCTTTAGAGTGACCCTTAGAAGCGACTCTTAGAAGCGACTCTTGGGCTTTCACCTTTTTGGGCTCAGAGATTAGAGTAAGTGGTGCTTCTGCTTACCCGTTAGAGATATTCATTCTGCTAGTCTTTCTTGCTTGTGTCTTGTTGTTAGATCCAATACTGCCAATTTTTAATGTTTCACTTATAGTCATTAACTGCCTTTTTCTTTTGTCTTTGCATATTCTGGATGCTTTTCCAGACCCAATATGGTGAATATTCTTTGCCCCTATCTTATATTTTCTATTTTTTCCTTGCTTGTTTGCTGGATAGTGCCCTTACTATCATGTTTTCTTTCAGATTACCCTTACAGGATTCATGCTTGTAGTCATATCTGCACTCCTTGGCTATGTGAGTAGGAGTTTCTTTTTGTCTTGTTTTTAGTTCCTTTTGTATTAGGTTTTCCTTACTCTTCCATTGGTCTTAATGCTGTCATCAGTATGTTTTTGTTTTCATTCCCTTCACTGTTGGATTGTTCATTGGTTGTTCTTGAGTATAACCTTTTTATCTTGCCAATTACTTTGCTGTGAGGACTGTTTTCTCCCGGAGTTCTCATCATATGAGATTTTGGTCTCAGATTTATTCACCTCGTTTGGATTCGCCTCCACCAAGATGGGTTCATATTGCACATGGAGTCCTTCTCTTCTTATATCAGGTTTGTTTAGTGTAGTCACATTTTATGTGTTTGTAGTTTGGCGTGTGTGTATGCTTTACTTGATGGCTTGAATAGATAAATGGACTGATTCTGTTGTGTTTCCTCTGTCTGGTCATTTTTTCATGTCATAATTCTCCATCAGTATAGCTTCCTGTTTGGTCTCTCTTGTGTTCATTCTATGTGAACGTGACAGAATTCTTTGAAGTATCTACTTCAACCTGAAGTAGACTTGGTGTTTTTAAAGGCTTGAAGTTAGACATGCCATTTTACTGTTCAATTGAATATAATAAATCATGAAAGAAGTCTTCTTGGTAGTTAATCTAGTAAGGGGTCACAAAAACATACATAGTCTTATTAATATTTATGTTATTTTTTTGAAGTTTAATTGTTATTTTATAGTGATTTAAAAAACTAGGTGTCTACCATCTTTATAAAATTATTTAGTGTCCACATACTGTGGGTAAAAATTTCTACATGAACAATTTTATAAGTACAAAACTGCATATGATAAGCCTCCTTTGATGGCCCAATTAATTTCTTGAAATTTTGTTTGTTCTGATTTTAATTTGATGCTTGAGCTATTCTTAGGGATGGAATGATGGCTATGTACAATTTTTCCACATTGGAATTGAACTAAAATGTAGAGGTTAGAGCAACTCCAACCCACTCTCTATTTGCCATTTCTTAGCCATTTTATTGAGCCCAACACAAAAAAACCTCTCCAACCCACTCTCTATTTTTGCTTTCACATTTTTAGCCTCGCCAAAACCCCCCTCCCCTTCCTCCATGCCTTTATCGAACCGAAACCCCCTCTAGAGGCACAAGTAGGAGCGTCTGATGCAGAAGGACATCTCTAACTCAGGTTGGTGAGATATGAGATCTAACCTCTCAGATCTTAGATCTATGCTTCAATCGGAGGGTGTGTTCTTCAATCAGAGGTGCTACTGTGACACAGAGAAAGGATTTTTGTCGCCTTGAGAGAGAGAGCGCTTCAGCCGATGTCGCCGAGAGAGATCTTGAGCCACTGATGTCGTCGATAGAGAGGGAGGGAGAGATAGGGAGAGAGAGAGAGAGATAGGGAGAGATGAAATACATATGGTGAATATATGGGGGTGGGCTTGGGGGATTCCTAAATCTAATGTATAATATAATATATACTATTACTATATATTTTCGGTTGGAGTAGTTTTAGATTTTTAATAAATAATTTATAATTTATATAAAATCAGTAATTAATAAAAGTCGGAGTCGGTGTTTTTTCAAATAGGCCTTCAGATTCCGACTCGTTAAATATGACCTTTTTTTGGAGTTTTAGACTTGGGTTAAATATGACTATTAAAAATATGTCGATGATGTGGTAGATTACGTGGTATTTTTGATTTAAATTATTAAAAGTTAGTTAAATTAGTTAGCTAAAATAGAGAGCGTGGTTGGAGTGGACTTGTAAAAGTGACTTTCTAAAATAGAGTATAATATTTAAATATATTTTGAGTAGCTAAAATGGAAAATTGTGTTGGAGACTTGGAGTTGCTCTAAGCCCTCTACAATTTAGGTTTAGTATCTTTACTTCTGAAGTCTCGTGTACTTGTGAAGGTTGGGCGTCTGAGGAAACAATTGTCGAGTTTAATACGACTTACTACGCTTTGCCTAATGATTTATTCTAGTTTAAAATTACCAAATGTTCATTTTCTCTAGGTAAAGTAGCCTTGTCCATCATCCCCTGTATTGAGTTTTGGATGAGATAATTTTTTCCAATGAGGTAGGTTCAGTGTCACAATGGTGCATTCATTAACCACGTGCCATCAACCCAAATCTTCAGAATCTGATTTGCAAATAAAGTTGAGAAATTGGAATTGAATTGGTGGTAAAGGGGCCTTTTTAGTTTTTATACACACTTTGTTACTGACATTCTCTCTGCATTAAGAAATTGGTTTGGCAGTGAAATTCTTTCGATTAAGACAGTGAATTACAATTTAAGCATTCAGTCAATCTCTACAGGGCCCTAAGTGATGTCTTAAATATTTGTGCAGTCCTTAGCCATCAGAACATATATCTCATTTTTTTTTTACCATTACATAAGATAGGAATGTTCCAATGCTGATGTTATATCTTATTCTACTAGGTGGTGGTTCTTTTGGATTTTCTTTTTTATACTAAGCATCTCTATTGAAGATTGCTTTCCTATTGGTCATATTTTTGTATGATCTTTGAATGCATGCCAGACTTTTGATGCCGTTGATGGAAAGCAAGCAAGACGGACAAATTCCAGTAGTCCATTGGGGGAGCTCTTTGATCATGGTAATTTTCCTTTCTTTCTTTGTTTCTTTTCCAAAACAAGTGCTGAAATTACCCGAATATATTCTTGACATCTGCAAATGTTGCAGGGTGCGATGCGCTTGCATGTGCGGTATGTTCTATAGTTTCAGTAGTCATCCTGTTGCCATGGCAAGTGTAAGGCCTTCAGATATTGTTTGATGTTTATCAGTTTCAATCCTGAGATTATGTTTTGATTATCAGTTTGAGGCATTGGCCTTCGGGAGCACTACGATGTGCGGACGATATACATTTTGGTTTTGGGTGATATCAGCTGTTCCATTCTATTTGGCAACATGGGAACAGTAAGTGCTACGAGAGATACTTGTTCAATACATTTTAAGGAACTCTTGACATTATGATTGATTCCTTTCCTTTTTTTTTTTTCATTCTTGTTTTAATTATTTGGTTTTGGGGCTGGGATGGATGGGTCAGCTGTTGTGATCTTTCCACTTTATTAGAATCCTGGAGTGGTGTTTTGTGACCCTTCTTTATCTCCCTAGGCTATCTAAAGAACAACTGCTATTACATTTTCATTAATTCGTTTGAGGAACAAAATTGCTGCTTAGACAAGTGTTTTTTTTTTGTGGGTGCTGTAGTTTTTTTGTATGAGGTACAGTAGATAGGAAAGACTTTGGGAAGAGGCAGTTTAATTATTTTTTACACCCAATAGTCATCGACTGAGAGTGGACTTTTTTAAACCCAATATTCTTCGACTGAGAGTGGTATAATATAAGATGATTCGTATGCTTTTAACCGGAACTGATGTTTGTGGGATTAGGGGTGTTCAAATTTTCGATTGGCCGCAATTTTCTACCTTACTTGACCCTATCCTATCCTACTGAACGGCTAGTTGCAAAAATCGGGTAGGAATGCGGAAGAATTTTTGGTCTTTCGATTAAATTGGGTAGGAATGCGGAATACCCATTAATTTCTACATTCCTACCCTACCCTACCCTATCTATAAAAAATATATTTAACTTTTTAATATTTTTTTAGTAATTATAAGTGTATTTGTGTGGTATAATTTATATTATAATATTGTTATTGTTGTGGATGTTTGAGTTGTGAAAACATGGACTTATTTATTGTGTAGGTTACATGATTTGTGGTGAACTGGTGATCTATTGGAGCAGTTATGATTTTAATGTGTTTCATATGGTTTAAACTTAAAATAATTGTTAATGTATTTGTGTAATAATTATGATGAATTGACATTCACGCTTTCTTATGTTTTATTGTAATTGTTGTTATAGTTGTTTTAGGTTTTAGTGTTATTGATTTATTGTGTTGGTAAATTGGTGCATGTTATTTAATTGAATTGTTAAAATTATTTAAAAATTAATAGCTACAAAAGTGTTTACCCGAATTCCTATCCGATTAATCGGGTAGAAATACCATACCTGATCGGGTAGGGTAGGCAAAAAAAAAATTCTTCCGCAAAGTATCTGGTAGGAAGACGGAAGACTATATTTCCTATCTGTAGGGTAGGGTGAACACCCTTATGTGGGATGCTCATTTTCTTTTGATATCTTCATGTGTTTTTCAATGTAAAACCATGTTAGTGTGATTGATTATAGGTCTTTTAAGATCTGTTCTCCATCTCTATTTTCCTGGCTACTTTATTGTTGGTTCCTGTTGCTTATGTTATAAACTGGGAATTTCATTAGCAAATGCATTGATGTTACTTCCTTTGTGCAGTTATTTCACCAATACCCTCATTCTTCCTGCAGTAAATGGACCTACAGAGGGTCTCATGCTAATATATTTGTGCCATTTCTTTACAGCTACAGTTGGTATGCCCCTTTCTAATCCTTAAGCATTCGTTTGTATACATAACAACTTAATGCTTTACACGTCATTGATCTCTCCCTCTATCTGTCATCTTAATTTTACTTCATTTCTCTCTCAGGTGCCGAGTGGTGGGCTCAACCATTTGGAAAGTCCCTTCCCTTTTTGAGTTGGGTTCCATTTATCAGTGGTAAGAGTGGCACATTGGGATCTGATTATATTTGGCACAATAGTTGTACACTTGGTTTTGTTTCCTCTCGATGTCCATGTCATTGTTATGCCGTGGTGCACACAGCTATGGCATTTGTATGGTTTTTTTGGTAATCTTGTATGGTATTTATATCTGGTTTTTTGTTGAAGGAAGATTCGTTTTTTAGATTTCATCTGTTTATCCCTTATAATTACTTGGTTGTACTTGCGTCAGTTCCTTCTACTGAGTCTTTCTTGATGTTTTTAGATGGCAACAGTAAGAAATGGGTGGTTATATGTTTCTTCAGGGCATTAGGAAGATTTATGCAGTAGGCGCCAAAAGGATGATATTATCTTATTTTGCAAATTATGAGGTCTAAGATTGTTCTTAGGTACTAACAAAAAAAATAGGATTGTTCTTAGGTGCGACCTTATGATTGAGATTGATTGCCAGGATTGAGGTACTTTCATAGTACAATGTCAGCTGGTCATACTGGCTTACTGTCTTGTCTGTTTCTGACACTACACAGATTCGTTTTTCCACAATGGGTGCTAGTATTATTGTTTATAAATGTTGCATAGAACAAGCTTGCTTAATATGCCTGGCTTCAGCTTTTAAGTTTGGCTGCTTTTGTAATGTGCACTGATTGGACTGGGGTATCATTGTTCGTTTGTGTGTTGGATGCTCCAGAAACTTTTCCTGACATTCATTTTCTTGGGTTTTGTCATATTCTTCAGTAGGCAATTCTTTGATCACCCTTTTGCACCTTTTACATTTTTTATCTTGCTGTGGTCTGTGCTTTTCTAAGATAGTTATATGTTTTTATTGTATTTTTAATTCTATAATCTTAGAAATTGACTTGCTTTTGTTATCTGTTGTTTTTTGTCTTTATCTTTTTGGTTACAGAAATCCCGACAAATGCAGCTGCATTGTTTTTGATGATAATCTTTGCTGTCATACCAACAATCTATTCCAAGTGAGTAGTTTTTTTATTTAATTTATGGCAACGGTTCACTTATCTATCTGGCAGCGCATTCATTGTGATCTCTATGTTGTTAATATCTACACGGCCTGTCGTACCATTTGGATTGTGTAAATCTGAAGCTTCAGTGGAGGGTTGTGATTTATTGATCTACATGCTGGCATACATTGCAATATAACCATCCGTGTCATGAATGCTATGTTTTTATGTTAGCTGGAGGTTGACTTAACTAAATCCTTGTCCGCATCACTCAGCTGTGCTCAAGTAGTAAGCTTGATGGGCTAGTTATAAATGTAGAAATTATGAATGATATTACACTCAATACTGGCTCTGTACTAGGACATTCTTAGTTGTCTGGATTTCACAACATAGATTGTTCACGCTAGACCTTACATTAAACTTCTAAATCTCTATTCTGTAGTGTCAGCTTGAACTTGCTTTAATTGGAGTTTTTCTTTTGTGCAGTGTAAACAATGTTTATAAGGTTGTTCAGGCAAAAAAAGGGAGCATGCTGCGGGCACTTGCAATGGTAAACAAGTTCCATGGCAGAGTTTATTTCTTATTCACAGGCTGCTCAATGGATTTAATACTTTTTTCTTTGGTCAGCTTTACCCGTTTGCTGTGCTTGTGGGAGGAGTCTTGGTTTGGTAGGTATCACTCTGTGCTATATGCTATTCACATGCTTAGATTGTGAGGATAATTTGGTTTTCATCTAGATTTTATCTGTTGCACAGGGATTATTTGTCTCCAATTGATTTAATAGGGACATATCCGCATATGGTTATTGTGGGAACTGGACTTGCATTTGGATTTCTTGTGGTAAGTTAATCTAAGTGTGTCTGATTTTCTGAACTATTCACATACAATCTTAATGGCATCTGCTTGGTCCATTGGTAAAATTTCAGGCTAGGCTATGTCTGGACGACAAGAATTAACGGCTGGATTGAGAATTTCTTTCCTTTTATATCTCATTCCCATGCTTGATATCCGTTATTGTTAGCACAAATGTCATTCCTCTAGGTGTGAGATTCCCACAAAAAGTGGATATCTCGTGAAGGAAATGAATTGGCTCTGGCAATTTTATTACTTGAAATCTTACCCTTGTAGTGGAATTTTATGCCTTATGTCTCATTCCTGCCATCGAAAATGGGCCCTCAAGTTTGAAGAGTGTGTTTACATATACCTTTGAAGAGCGTATTTGTCGTGTTGTGTGATTTGATATCAAATATATTTGTCCAGTCATGTGCAGTCTCAGCTATGCCTCTGTGCCCACTTTACATGTTTGTGCAGTAGAAATATAGAGATTATTCCAGTGTTCTATTTTAAAATTCCAATTGAGCACTATGCTTTTAGATACTAATCTTCTTACTGTCCTGTTCCTGAAAGAAATCTTGTTTTGGCAGGGAAGGATGATTTTGGCTCATTTGTGTGATGAACCCAAGGGCTTGAAGACTAATATGTGCATGGTATGTGCATCTAACCAGAATATCATGATGCGAAATTGTACTCCCAAGTCCATTTAAGATTTATGGTTTTGAATTTAGAAAACATGAAAGATTATCAAAGATATCCAACATTAGATATGTGCCATACTCGTGCAAATTTTAATGCATATTGTTCTCTTTGTCAACATGGTGACCATCATCATTTAGAATTTCCAGTAGTAGCCTTATCCCATTATCAGCTTGTATTGGTACTTCTGGCAGACCTAAATTTAAGAGAAGAACTTCCTGGATGNTTCTCTTTGTCAACATGGTGACCATCATCATTTAGAATTTCCAGTAGTAGCCTTATTCCATTATCAGCTTGTATTGGTACTTCTGGCAGACCTAAATTTAAGAGAAGAACTTCCTGGATGATAAGTTAGGATAATGATTCATATGGATTAAGGCTGGTCGGGTTTAGCTGATAATCTTTGTGGCCTGCATTTCTTGACCTAACTTCTTCCTGTGCACTAGACAAAATTATTTCCTCTTTTCCTTTTGGGCTACTGGACAATAGAACTTGAACTAAATCGTTTGTGGTAATCTGAGTTAAATCTTGAATATTGACCTTGCAATTAGCTTCTTATAAGTAAGTGTCATTTGCTTTAGTCAAAGACAGAATTCATCGGAATTAAGTATTCCATCTTGTTAGATCAGTTCGTAGTTAGTTGAGATTTTTCAGTGTTGGTGCATGCTTGCGAAGAATTTGGATACAGGGCAGGTGTTGATGCCTGTTTTAGGAAGTATGCCAGTGTAGTATTAATAAGGTGCTGATCTCAAATTAAAAAAAGGTAGTAAAACTGGATGCAGTTTCCTTCTCTTTGGAGAAGCGTGCAATTGTAATAGATAGGGTGTGTGCGTGTGTATTATTTTGCTGCAAGCCATATGCTAAAGGGAGTTAACAAAACACTAATCTCCTTTTCGTTGATTATTGTCTCAAATTTATGACATATTGCCTATTAAGACTTTCATCTTTTTTTTTTTTTTTTCAACATTCCATTTTTTACAACCATTTGACTTACTTTTTCAAGTTTCAACCTACCAGTAGTAAGACTTGGAAACAAGTCTTATGTTTCGTTTCTCATTTCTGAAGTTTTGCATATCCCATGATTTGCATAATGATTGTATAACTATGTAATTGGTTTCTGTGCCATATTTTGCAGTCTTTGTTGTATCTGCCTTTTGCCATTGCAAATGCACTCACTGCCAGACTGAATGATGGGTATGTTGCAATTTTGTCATTCTGCCTCAGCTTATTCAATGCCAGAAGCATTCATTGGTTCCATACTTCTAAGTTCTAAGAATTGAGAAAACATAAAAGATGCCATTGACATGTCATCATATCTATCCTGAGAGTCATGGTACTTTCACACATTCATTTAAAATTTGTTTTTGTGGCAGAGTTCCTTTAGTTGATGAGAGATGGGTTCTTCTTGGTTACTGTGTATACACAGGTAAAATAGCTTCTGCCTACCTTCATTCATGTATATTGCATTATGCGGTTTGCCTGTCTTTTTGTTTTTTTGGCCTGGTAAATTTTGTTACTTTGATTTTTCTTTTTGAAAAAATTCTTCAAGATCCCATTCTTTGTATTCTCTACTTTTCACTTAATTCATCTCTGAAACAATATCCTTTTCCCACTTTCATTAAAGACACAGTGGTAGTTTGTGTTGTTGATGTTATGTATGGTCTTTTCCTGTACGCAGCGGCACTTTATCTGCACTTTGCCACATCAGTTGTTCACGAAATCACTTCAGCCCTAGGAATATACTGTTTCAGGTGAGAGATTGAAATCATCTTGGTTGATTCTTGAAAAAGTTGTCGTACACTGCAATTTAGGCTTGTCTTAGAATTTTCTTAAGATTGTGAAATTAGATCCTGAATGTTTCTTTCACTTACAATTGTCAGGATAACAAGGAAAGAAGCTTGACGTGTGCTACCATTGTATTCCAGGTACACCTGTCCAGGTCTTGTGTCGTATGTCTTTAGGTTTACTTGTCGATTTCATACATTTTATGATCCAGATATTTGGTCAGGGTCATGCATATTGCCTCGTCATAAAATTTATGCATCATTTCATGATATTTTTGGTTTCAGCTGGCAACTCGGGAAATATGCCACGACGATGAGGTTTTGTGGCTGATATTTTTGGTTTCACATTATTTACAGAATTTCATATGGGTCCATGGCACAGGGTCCAGCAGTTTAAGTACTCTTGGCTATTGTAACTTATTATATGACTTTTACTGCGGTAGTTGGTAGTCATTTGATATGTCACTTCTCCCAAATTTTGTATGGATTACATTACACTAATGCTACTCCCCCAAGACCCGCACCAGGTGACGAGGCACATTATCACCAGTGTCAGATGTTGAACCGGTCTTTGGTGATTGATCTTGGTGGAAGTAGGATTACTCTGGATTATTTCTTACCTTACTGATGTGTTTGTGTTTGTGTTTGAGTAGGTGCTGGTGTCTGAGAAGAGTAAGCAGGGCCGAAAAGACCCCCTGCCCCCCGCCCGCGGGGGGGGGGGGGGGGGGG